TTCCTTCCTTCCTTCCTTCCTTCCTTCCTTCCTTCCTTCCTTCCTTCCTTCCAGCTACGCATGTCTGAAATCCTAACACTTGAGACCGAGGCAGGAGGATTGTCGTGAGTTCAAGGCCAACATGAGCAACATAGTAAATTCAAGGTGGACTACATAGTGAGATGGTCGCAATATCACCACCCAAATCATTTTCAGATTTTGAAAAGTAGGCTGTGGTTTTAGAATGTATGCATACATGGTTTTACTCCCTGTTAATGGCTGATTAAAATTTGCTAGATGTACTGAATGCTATATCTAGCTTACTGGCTTTTATTTAAAATGTTGTTATTTAGTGTAGTGTCTGAGGGCTCAGCAGACATGGTTTGGAAGTTTTCTCTTGCTCAGCACTTCTCCAAAATGTATTAAGAAAGTTCTTATTTCCATGAAGGGGACTGTATTTCTGCCTCTCGTCTCAGTTGTTTAATAGTTGTATGACTTTAGCATGCAAGAGGAGCTCTACACTATATGTCATGTTTGTTATGAGCTCTTTTTATTTTGAACTTACGGACTTGAGTAAGTTAGACTATCCAAAAAATTCCCCAATCCTTTTGAGGTTTTAGCATAAGATATAAATATTCTTTGGACCAAAAACTAGAGTGGAAATGTTGCAGAATAGAAGTCTGAGTATCTGAGGCTTGGCTTGCATACTGAGATGCTGTTTATTTGCCAAATTGTTTTCAGTTTTCTTGGCCCAAGCATACTGTGTAGCTGGTTTTTTCTTTTCTTTCTTTCTTTCTTTCTTTTTTTTTTTTTTTTTTTTTTTTTTTTTGGTCTTCAGTGTCTAACTATGCAGTTCAGGCTGGTCTTGAGCTCACTTTGTAGCCCAGGCTGGTCTCAAACTTGCAACAATCTTCCTGCCTCAGCCTCCCAAGTGCTGAGATTATAGGCGTGCACCACCATGCCCAGTTTCTGCATAGCAGTTATATTAGCAGTAGACTTAAAAAGAGACAACCTAGGGGCCCAGGAAGTAGCTCAGTAGAATAAGTGCTTGCCTGGCAAGCGCAGGGTCCTGAGTTCCATCCCCGGTACCACAAAAAAAAGAAAAAAGAAAAAGGCAATTTGTTAAACTGTTATCAATTTCAAATTTTTAAAGATATGGAAGGGTAGGATATAACTGATACCTAGAATTAACAAGTATTACCTTTCAAAAAAGAACAAATAGCAAATGTATCATTTTGTGTTTGCTATGGGTTTCTTTTTTTAAGAAAAGGAAATAAAACATTATTGCTATAGTGGAAATCCCTTTTGTTTTCCCTCCTCTCACTTTTATTCTTTTCCACTAAAGCAATTAAACTATGACTTTATCATCTTTTTTGTTCATGCTTTTGGATATTCAGTATAAATATCTATCTTTAATAATTATGACAAGATTTACTGCTTGCCAGGTGCTATTAATCTAATCAGTAATCTTGTGGCTGTTATAGAAATTGAATGAGTTAATGTATAAAATAGTATAATGTAGCTGTTTTGGGTTTTGGTACTGGGGATTGAATCCAGGGTCTTGCACATGCTAGGCAAATAAATGCTCCCCACTGGGTAGCTACTGTTACATCTAATTGGGGATCTGGAGATGTACAAAGGTTAAATAAATATCTAGGTTCATACAAATACAAATTAATGGAGCAAAAATTGAACTCAAATTGTTTGTTATATAGTCCATATAATATACTATAGGGGCCAGACATGGTGGCACACACCTGTAATCCCAGTACTCAGGAGGCTGAGGCAGGAGGATCTTTGCAAGTTTGAGACCAGCCTGGGCTACAAAGTGAGCTCAAGGCCAGCCAGAACTGTACAGCAAGACCCTGGGGAAAAAAAAAAAAAAAAAAAAAAAGAAAAAAAAAAGAAAAAGAGATAGAGATGTTATATATTATGAGGGTGATTATGTTATTATTATTTTTTTAATAGTAATAAAAATACTATTAAAATAAGGCCTGCCCCTTAGCTCAGTTCTTTAAGTGGCTGCTTCAACAAAGCAGTCAGGCTTAGGTTGCTGTGGTTCCATCCTCACAACTCAAGACAGCCAAACCTGCCCTCAAGGCATTCGGAGCAAAAAAAAAAGTTAAAAAAAAATTTTTTTTTGTTGCTACTGGGAATCAAACCAGGGGCATGCTTCTATTGAGCTATATCCCTAAACTGCTTACTAAATGTTTTTTAGAGACAAGGGCTCCCTAAATTGGTCAAGCTGGCTTTGAGCTTGAAAGTCTCCAGCCTCAGCCTCCTGACTAGCTACCATGCTTAATTGAGAAGTTTGGTTGGTTTTTTTTTGAGCTGTGTGTGGTTTTGCACACCTGTAGTTCCAGTACCATGGGAGGCTTAGGTTAAAGTACAGTTCCAGTTGGGCCTACTCAGTGTAACATTTAACAAGACTCTGTCTCAGTATAAAAAAAAAAATTAAAAAGGTCTGGGATGTAACTCAGTCCTGGTTTCCCATGCTGGGTGGGGACTTTTTTGAATGAAATTTTAGTGATGCCAGCAACTAAACTTGCTGTTTCTCCTCTAACATTGCTTTTGAAATATATATGTATCACTAGATATAATTCACTTATCTAATTGCATGTCATTGCTAGATATGATTTATTTATGTAAGTGGAGGATAGTTGAGTTTATCTGTTGTTCCTGCAGATGAACTTTAGCTTGTCACTCCCCTCCCTCCATTCCATATGATAGTAAAATGAAATCAATATTTTTGTTTAGGATTCCTATTATGCAGCAGTGGGAGTTCTGTTAGCATCTATCTTTACTTTTTTTTTTTTTTTTTTTTGCGGAACTGGGGATTGAACTCAGGCCCTTGTGCTTGCCAGGGAAGTGCTTATTCTACTGAGCCATCTCCCTGGCTCCCGCATCTAACTTTAAAAAAAAAACAAAAACAAAAACTTTTCTCCCTCTTGAAAAGTGCTGTGAGCAAAGATACATTGTTGTTTATTTTTCAAAATAAAAATATCAAAATTGTCATTGAGTTGTGCTACTGTAAAATTTCTAACAGGACTCCTGTCAAACCAATTTAGCTGTAATTAGCAATCTCTTACCTCCTTCTGCCCAGAAGAGAATGTTAAAACCATATTGCTGAGCTGTAACAATTTTTTTTTTTTTTTTTTTTTTTTGGCGGAACCCGGGATTGAACTCAGGCTCTTGAACTTGTCAGGCAAGCGCTTATTCTACTGAGCCATCTCCCTGTAACAACAATTTTGTCTTCCATCTTCTGTGTAGAGAACTAGGACCTGCCATCCTCATAAACCTTCAGGGACTTCAGGGATGAATAATGTATTTCATTAAAAATGAACTGTTTCTCAAACAATGAAAAAGTCACTAGTGGTTCCAAGTGGGTGGAATGCCACATGGTAGCCAGCTAGAGAGGAGGCTGAGGAAGGAGGATCTTGAGTTTGGGGCCACTGAGGCCAATGTAGTAAGACATGGTCTCAAAACAAAAACTAAGAAGGGCTAGAAATATATCTATCTCAGAGCAAGAATGCTCTGGGGGTCTGTCCCCACTACTGGAAAAAAAGTCAGTAGATGTCAAATCTGTCTAATTTAGCACACAACTGTGTTCTGTGTTCAGTTTCATGTTACTATGGCTTATTTTTTTGAAGTTTCTTTTTCCTTCTTTTCTGTTTCCATTCCAATTATAGTCAACCTGGCTCTTGTCTATATTCCACCCAGGTGACCAGTTTAACTCCTTGCAGCTCATGTGGAAAAACACTCAACTAAGTAGTAATGGAAAAATTCTAAGCTTTCGTGCTGGGTAGAGATTGGTTCCAAGCCTTGTTCTGCCAGCTGTTTGTGCTCAGACAGGTTACTTAAAACCCTGAGCCTTCTTTTCTTTCTCTTTTTTTCTTTTTGAGACAGGGTTTCACTATGCAGCTCAGCTGGGCTTTGAACTCACTTTGTAGCCCAGGCTGACCTTGAACTCTGAAGTGTGATCCTGCTGCCTCAGCCTCTGAGTGTTGGGATTATAGGTGTGTGCCACCATGCCCAGCCAAGCCTACTGTTCTATTTTGCATTGGACTTTTATGATTGTCATAGAAAAAAGTAGAAATTAGGAGAGCCAAATATAAAAAATTAGCTTGTACTTTTATGATTAGTTATGTATATATGGTGGGGTGGAGCCTTCTAGAGTCATTTCTACTGGCTTGTGTTATTTATTTATTCAATACTGAATTTTTAGATGTTTTTATTCTTATATTTTTATTTGGATACAATTTTGAAGTCTTTGTCATATTTGATTTCCACTGGACTTAATAATTTTTCAAATTAGAAAATTATATGAAGCTATAACTATAAAGGGCACTTGCAGGAACACAGACTTTTTAATCAGTCTTGCTCTTTTCTTTGTCATTTGTAGTACTGACCATTGACCCCAGGACCAATGGGCTGTATCTCCAGCCCTTTTTGTTTTATTTATTTATTTTTAATGTTTTATTTTGAGACAGGATCTTGCTAAATTGTTCAGGCTGGTCTTGAACTTGCAATGTTTCTACCTCAGCTTCTGGATTAGCTGGAATTACAGGCATGTACCACTATGAATGGCTGCGTTGTGATTTTTGTCTCTAACATTTAGTGATCTCTCTGTGAAATGAATGTAATATTCTATCATGGATTATTTCAGAATAAGTATGCATACAACCACTGAGCTGTACCCCTAGCCCATACTATATTTTCTGGAAAGTAGGTGGTTAATTAATATTATTATTTTATTACTTAGATTATAACTGATGATCTCTATTATATTCTACTTATATGAAGAATGACCCCTGCCCTTGCGCTTGCCAGGGAAGCGCTTATTCCACTGAGCCATCTCCCCGGCCATTTGAGTTTTAAATATATTAGTGTTTTTTCAAGGTAAAGACATCGAAGTATTTAGATATGAAAATCAGGAGATAGAATGTGAAAGGAAATATTTTTATATTGATTTGCATGTATTTGTTTATGGTCTTAATGGACTTTTTTTGTCTCTTGTTTAGTGTCAAACTGGAAGAGAAGTAAAATTCAACAAAAACTTACTATGTGTGAAGTTCTTTCTTAAAAAGAAGAAAAAAGATTACTGAATTATGGATCGGAGCAAGCGGAATTCAATTGCGGGATTTCCTCCGCGAGTGGAGCGCCTTGAAGAGTATGAAGGAGGCGGTGGAGGAGATGGGAATGTGACCCAGGCAGGGAAAGTTTGGACGTCTTCCTATCGAGCTCTTATAAGTGCCTTTTCCAGACTGACACGTTTGGATGACTTTACTTGTGAAAAAATTGGGTCTGGCTTCTTCTCTGAAGTGTTCAAGGTGAGAGATACCTCAGCAGTTTTCATATTGTCTTACTGATGTCTGATTCACTGCAGAGCTAATAATTGTGTTTAATTTTTTTTTCCCACCAAAAGTTGAACTCAGGGCTTTGCACTTTCCAGGCATGCGCTGTGCTCCTGAGCTACATTCCTCACCTAATGTGGTTAAAGAGAACAGAGGTTTTACTTAGGGTGTTCTCAATCCTGATTACTTTTCTAAACTCTTCAAGCTCTTATTGTGAGATAATTTGTTTTAATTTTAAAAATAATATATGTTCACATACTTGTAATACCAGCACTCTGGGAGGCTGAGGTGAGAAGATTGAAAGTTTTAGCCCAGCCTGCGCAGCTTAATGTTTAGTATGACCCTGTCTTAAAATAAGAACATAAAGGGCAAGAGATGTAGTTCAGTGGGAAGGCCTTAAGTTCCATCTCCAACATTGTAAATCAAGCCAAACCAAATCATGCTGATAATAAAAAAGTTACATTTTTTGTTATATAGGTCTTGCTTTATCTTGGTCTTAACCATCCAGCAGAAAAGTATAAAAATGAAGTATGAAAAGTAAAGCCATATTAATATGCCGAGCTGTAAAAGGCTCAAGTCAACAACATCTGACATTGCCAGTTTTATGGAAAACCCACTACTATTATGGACTACTGGACTAATTGGAATATTTTGCTAAATTCCCACACCTACAATATTTTAAATATTGTAAATATTTAAATATTGTAAATTACAATTGTAAATATTGCAATTGTAAATATTTACAATATTTAAAAGACAATGGAATGCCCTTCTGTGACAAAACCAAGAAAGGGAGATACAAATGAATGACCATTTTGTATCTATATATTCAAAATAGTTAGGATAGATATACAACTGCTTTCTCTTAATTCAATCAATAGAGAGATTTGTTCTAATAGTGTCTGTGGACAGGATATCATGTCTGCATCTTTTACAGTGATAACCACTAAGACAACAATATGCAATGTATTAATTATTTAAACTGTGCTAGTAATTGGTTTTGAAACTCTCATTGTTATTTGTTTCTCAATAAAATTATTTAAAGAAAAATTTTTAAAAATGCTGATAAAAAATTTAAAGAATATAGAAAATTTCTTTAGATTTTATTTAATTTTCCTATTGTTTATGGCTTTTTAATTATTCTCATTCTTTTTCTTGCGGAACCAGGGATTGAACTCAGACCCTTGTGCTTGCCAGGGAAGCACTTATTCTACTGAGCCATCTCCCCGGCCATTAACAGGACTTGATCTGTTTTTTTTTTGTTTTTTTTTTTTCGATACTGGGGATTGAACTCAGAACCTTGTGCTTGCCCGGCAGGTGCTTATTCTACTGAGCTATCTCCCCAGCCCCTTTTTAATTATTCTCATTGTTCCAAATATATAATCATATTGTCTACAAATATCTATATATCTATATCTATATCTATATATATATATATTTTTTTTTTTTGGAGATGAGGTCTTGCTATGCAGTTCAGGCTGGCCTTGAGTTCACTTTGTAGTCCAAGCTGGTCTCGAACTCCCTCCTGCCTCAAGCCTCCTCAGTGCTGGGATTACAGGCCTGTGCCACCATGCCAGGCTATAAATAAAGTGTAAAGAAAATAGGTGTCTCTCATACCTCTGTCTTTCCCACATATGTACATATCTACATGATGTTTGTGCATGTATGTGTGTATGTTCTCCAGTAATAACCACTATTTGCCATTTGATGTATATTCTTATGGATCCTTTTCTGTATTTATAAAAATACACATCTTACATATGTATATATAACTTATACACATATAAGTGCTTTTTTTTGTCATTCTGAAGATCAGACTTAAGGCCTCATGTATGCTAAACATTCTGCCACTAAACTATGCCTGGAACCTGTGTGTATTATGCATGTATATGTGTTTGTGTGTGTGTGTGTGTTTGTATTTTCTTTTTTTTTAAATTTTTATTTATTTACTTATGTGTGTGTCTGTGTGCGTGTGTGGCCAGCTCAGCCCACCAGGGGTCGAGGCTGGCTGGCATGTGGTGCTGGGGGATTGAACCGTGGTCCCTGTGCTTTGCTAAGCTTGTTCTAAGTAGGTGCTTTAGACCCCTGAGCCATCTCACCAGCCCCTGTATTTTATTTTCTTGAGACCATCTCAGTGTGACTTGGAGTTGTTTTCCTGGTCTGGAGCAATCCTCCTGCCTCAGTCTTCCAAATGATAAATAAATAAGAAAGACTGAAAAAAAAAGTATTGAATCCAGTTTTAATTGAAATTATTTTTTTTTTTTTTAAATTTTTTTTTATTACTTATTTGTGTGTGTGTGTGTTGTGTGTGTGGCCAGCTCAGCCCACCAAGGGGCAGGGTTGGCTGGCATGTGGTGCTGGGGGATTGAACCGTGGTCCCTGTGGTTGCTTAGCTTAGCTTGTTCTAAGTAGGTGCTTTAGACCACTGAGCCATCTCACCAGCCCTGAAATTATTTTTAAAGACCTGTTTATAGGCTGGTTGTGGTGGCATGTACCTGTAATCCTAGCACTTTGGATGCTGAGGCAGGAGGATCATTGTGAGTTTGAGACCAGCCTAGGATACAAAGTGTGCTCAAGGCCAGCCTGAACTGCGTAGTGAGACCCTGTGTCAGAAAGACTTAAAAAAAAAAAAAATCTTTGTTATGTGCTGTGATTTGAATATGGTTTATTCCCAACAAAGCTCATGTTAGACTTTAATCCTCACTTTTAGGCCACAGGGTGGAAACAATCTACTGTCATGTTTAGACGCATGATCTTTGGGATTCAGTGAGGGCCAGGTAGTGTTCATACTGGTGCCCCCCGCCCCTTTTCTGTACTTAGGTCAGGGTCTACAAGGTCTCACAACACAGATCAGACTTGTAGTGATTCTTCTGTTTACAGCTTCCCAACAGCTGGGATTACAGGCATACGCCACCATGTCCAGTCTCAATTGCCCTCTCACGGGCACGGCACACTTGGATTCCAACCTGGCTGCGGCACTCTGCCAAAGCAGGTGCTTTAGTCCCCTGAGTTACCAGGCCAGCCTGATAACTGGTGCCCCCTTTTGAATAGTGGTTGCGGGGTTGGGGAGATGGCTCAGTTGAATAAGCGCTTGCCTGGCAAGCCCAAAGACCTGAGTTCAATCCCCGGTTCTGGGGAAAAAAAAAATTAGTGGTTGTTTGAGAAGAGAAAAGCTGGGAGCCTGGACCCCACATGTGATTCTAGCTAGGTGAGAAGAACTGTTATGTGCAGTCTTCCTCCCTGTGCTGAAGTTTTAGACAAACCTGGGTCCCTATCTCAAAATAAAAAATTTTAAGAAGGTCTGGGGAGGGATGTAACTTAGTAAAAGGATGCCTGTCTAGAACGTGTGTGGCCCTGGGTGTGATCTCCAGTATCACTAAAAAAAAAAAAAAAAAGACCAGAGGGCACTCATGCGGGTCCCTTGTCTCAGCCTTTGATGTGCTGCGCTCCCTTTGCGTTCTTGCTGGCAAGAGGGCCGATCCTCTTGACCTTGGACCAGAATCATGAGTTAAAATAAATCTCTTTATTGTTTACTCAGATTGTGGTATTGTCATATTGGCAACAGAAAATTGACTAAGACAGCATGGTACAAACTCAAAGGTATAAAAGGCTTAGATGAAATGTCATCTACCTTCATCTGCTCCCTTCCCTTCTGTTTTCCTCTTTTTTTTTTTTTGTTTTTTGTTTTTTGTTTTTTGTTTTTTGTTTTTTTCCCCCAGAACTAGGGATTGAACTTGGGTCCCTGTACTTGCCAGGCAAGCGCTTATTCCACTGAGCCATCTCCCAGGCCCTGTTTTCCTCTTTTGTTAACTAACATTTTCTTATAACCTCCCAGAGCTGTTATACGCATAAATGAGAATCTTTTCCTAGCAGAAAGGCAGAAATTCTGATTCGCACCTTGATTTTTTTAAAAAAAATATTGTTTATTTACTTCTTTACCTACACCAAGATAGAAGAGCAGACAGCACTACAGTACAAGTTCTGTGAAGGTAGGCATTATTTCTTTTTCTTTTCCATATTTTTAAAAATTTTGTTTTGTTTGTTTTTGAGACAGGCTTTTGCTACGTAGTCCAGGCTGGCCTTGAACTCACTGTGTAACCCAGGTTGTTCCATCCTTAACCTCATAAAGGCCGTGAGTTAGAGTGCAGCCTGGAGTACATGGTGAGTTGAAGGCTAGCTTGAATTATATAGCAAGACTCTGTCTTAAAAAAAAAACAAAAAACCGGAGGAAGTAATCTGTTCAGCAGTCTTTGTGTGTGTGTGTGTGTGTGTGTGTGTGTGTGTGTGTGTGTGTGTGGTGGGTGTGGAGACAGGGTCTCACTATGTAGTCTAGGCTGGCCTGGAACTCATTGTGTATACCAGGCTGCTTTAGAACTCCGTTCATGGCACTCCTCCTGTCTTAGCCTTCCAAGAACTGGATTTACAGCCATGGCCACCACACCCAGGAGTTTAGGATTGTGCACAAGGTTAGAGCTGTAACAGTTTTCAGACTGTGTACTTCAGAGTTGTTTGTAGAGTCTCATCTAGGATCTGTCCCATTTGGTTTTTTATTTGTCAATCTTGTGTATTAATACTTTTACTAAAAGCACCTGGAAAGGCTGAGGCAGGAGGATTGCAAATTAGAGGCTACAGATGAAATTTAAGGGAGCTTGAACTACATAGTGAGACCCTGTCTAGCGGAAAGAATAATTCAGTATCAGACATTTTTCTTCTTTCTTTAAATGGTAGCTGGCTGTCATAATTTGAATTTGGTAGCTTGCCACCTCTGTTCCATGGCTGTCTTTCCGGGATCTGAAAGCCAGAGCCGCTGCGAGGCTTCCTGGTTACTGAGTTTTTCTGTGAACATGGACCATGAAGAGTTAGCTGCAGCCCCTGGAGAAGCAGAGCCCTGCAGCGCCTGCAGCCTGCCTGCTAAAGAATGAAGGAAAGGAGCTTTATCTCTCTTTTTTTGTGTGTGCACTGTGCCTCAAAACTCA